TTTTTTTTTGTTTTTTGATATGAAAACATAATTCAGACATAAGAAGTATGTTATTGAGCAAAGCGATTTTAAGAAAAACAGCTAAATAAAACTAAAAATCATATTGATCATCTTGTGGTGATCTGTATATATACATCATGTGTCACGTGGACATAACCAATAAATTGTTGAAACTTGAAGGGTGTAATAGTTCACAAAACCCCAACCCCCAAAAGTACTTAGTTCCCACTTTTTAACTCCCAAAATTATTGACCGTCCAAGAGAACCCGATATGGCTTTTAAAACTCTCAGCAGTATTTTCAGAGCATCCCCAAAAACTTTCAACACTATGTTTTTAAACCCTCAAACTTTCAACATTTGTTTTAGAGAAACCTCGTGATGAACCCTTTCTGTAAGTTTCAGAAAAGCCTAATGAATTTTTGATGAAGTTTCAGAATAACTTCATCAGAGGGTAGTTAATTGCCGAGTTAAGTGCAATTTTCAAAATCTTTTCGTTATCTCAAAATGAAGTGAACTTTGAAGGGGGTTTTCTTTTAAGTAGCTTTTAGACTAGTGTTTTTTTCTCCATATATATATCTATATATGGTAACATAACAAATGTGTCAACTTTTAACTCAATTTAAAAAAAAAACGGTTTTTCTATAGAGTGCCTATGAGCACTCTATAAGAGAGGAGAGAGAGAAGTGAATTATTTGCATAACCTTACATAAAGGGTCTGTTTATTTGCATGGAAGTCAGTAGCGGATCCAAGAATTTTAAAAAATGGTGTTACTACATAATTAATAATAATAAATTAAATAGTAACTCAATCGATGGCAAAAACCAACTGCTATTAAAAGGAAAACAAATTGATTGTGGTAAAATAAATATGCATTTTTTGTATGGTCGTCGAGGTCTTTTTAGGGCCTCTTTAGGGCCTCCACTAAAAGAACCTTAGTAAAAAACTTGTTTACCTAAGGTTTCTCAGTTGATGGGCTAAAAATACCTTTAGCAACGGCCTTGTTTACATAAGGCTTTTCAGTTGATGGGTTATTGATGCGGGTGGGATCCTGTCACTTGATACTAGTTTGGCCCATGTAGATCCGCTGCCCACAAAAGTAACTATAAAGTACGCGAAGTAAGAACGGAATTGTTTGCATCCACTTCTATTATTTCTAAACGAAAAAAAAATATTTGTTTCTTAGAAAATACTACTTCCTTCTACTTTCTAACTCGCTGATATGACATCTATATGTGACCTTCATTTCCTAATTTTTTTTAGCCCCCTCGGGCCCGGAAATGTTTCAGAAGTGAACTAAAATGGGGGTGGGGTCCACAGGTCCCAAGATTTGTTGCGCTGGTGCTATCTCTTCATAGGATTTGGATCCTCTCCGCTACAAAAAAGTAGTGGAGAGACCACTATTTTTAATCTCAATCATTAATTATTTAGTAGACGGTTATAATACAATCTAAATCTAATACTTATCATATCCCCGTGTATTGCACTCATTTCTAATTTGCACTAAAAGAAAAAATCATAACCATCAACTAGATAATCAATCACTTTGATTATGTAGTGGTCCCTCCACTATATTTTTATAGTGGAGAGGATTTGAATCCCTCTTCACGATTTACATTAGTATTTTTTTCACATGGCTCCTCTTAATTAAACGAATCACATTTATTATGTTCTTTTTTTAATTTTTAACCGGCTATTTTATCTTGGCTTATTTTGGAACCCATGAGCTTCTAAATTCCTTCATTCACAAAAAATATCTAGCCTGTTTTTTTAATTGAACATTCATATTAATGAACAATACAATATTATAAATCATTATAACTCAATCTAACATGCAATAATATTTTATTAAAATGTTATAGTATTGAATAAATTATAGTAAAGGGAGGTAAGCGCACTATAATTTATATCATGTGTGAGTTACTTCCTAACAATATTTTAATTGTTCTGCAAAGGAAAAAGTGAATAAAATAGAAGACGTATTGCTTCTACAGCTTTTAAAATTGTGTGAAACAAACAAAAAAAATATATTACTTTCATTATTTCCTATTTCATAATTTTTTTGAAACACTTATTTCATAATTTTTGAAGTTTCTTCTTTGGTCTATTTGTTACTTTTACTAATTCATGTCATCCAAACGGGGCCTAAATGAAGTTGCTAATTCTGCTATTTCAAACAATTTTTTTTGGAAAAGCTATTTTTCATAAATGCTGATGTGACACATATGTGTCGTCTCTACTTCTTAAATCTTTTTTGCCTTTCAAAGCTTGGAAGTAGCTCGGTAGGCGAAACACAAATCAGTTTAGGAATAAAATTAAAATATGTATTATCTAGATGTTCTCTATTTCTAAATAAAATTTTAAAAGATCCTCTTTCTCTCTTCCTATCAATATTTATAATGACTATCCACACAAAAAATTGAATGACTAGAAGATATTACTATTTCCACTATTTCCAAGAATTTCTTAAAAAAAAGTTAATTCTACCAATTTCTATATCATAAATTTAAAAATTACTTATTTAGTCTGCTTCTCGCTTCTCATATTCTTGGTGATAAGCTACCAAAAGTTAATTATTCTATTGATATAATTTTTTTATCATAAACCACCAAAAGATTCA